CGAGCCTCTCGGGTAACCCCAGCAGTTCACGGCCCTGAGCTGGGTCCCATGACAGGAGTCACTCAGATGTGTAAGCCGGGAGGGGGTCACTGCATCTCTGGCTCTTCTACCCAAAGCCAATGGAGCTTTCTCAGGTAGCTCATCCGTGCTTACCCTGCCCTACCGTATCTCCTCAACTTGGAGAGCCCCCATGCTAGGCACAGCCCATGACTGAGGCCACGGCGATGTCCCACCCAGATGGTGAGTGAGATGCAGCGCCCAGGCCATTCCAGGAGGGGAGTGGGGAGGTAATTTTGGGTTTAAGCCTCCCAGTTCCAGACTGGACAAGCCTGCACCAGCCTGCCAGGCTGATTTACAGCGCCGAAGTCACATACGTGGATGAGCCCTCCAGCTTGCCGTACAGCCAGCCATTCTGTGCGTCCGGCATCAGCACCGTGATGACATCCCCAGGGTCAAACCGCAGCAGGGTCCGGTTGGTACCCGTCACGTGGGACACGATAGCCTGCACTCTCGTCGTGCCACTACTCCTCCTGCCTTCGCTGCCGCTGCCAGCCTCGCCAAACGAACCCGACCGGGAGGTACGGCCAGTAGGGAGCAAACCTGCAGGGAGGCATCAGAGGGGTCTGGCTGGAGTCCAGCATCCTCCTGCAAGACCCATGCTGCCTCAGAGGGACCAGCGCTTCCCCAGTCAAGTAATTATCCTAGAGGAGTAGAAGGCCTTTCTCTGCAGGCAGAGAGCAGGGCGTAGCATGGGAAAGGGTAAAACATTCATCTTGCAGTCGAAAATCAACTCAAAGTGAAACCACTTGCTTTGCACTATGTCCTCTGTGGCCAGATGTCTAGGGCACTGCTTGCTAAATGACTGGCTGATGTCCGTCTTCCCAACCCTATTAGAGCAACTGAGAATTTGGGTCGTTCTCCTCTCCCCCTGCCCTTTTTTTCCTTAAAAAAACACTTGAAGCTGAAATTTTTCAGGAAGCAAAAGCAGGTGAGACATGAGGTAACTGGCTGGGGTTTGTAGGGCAGGGTAATATTCTATCTAGTAGAGCAAGAGAAGGTGCATTACCAAAATGAGAACTCCGGTAAGAACCAGCCCTCATGGTTCAAGAAGCCTTGAAAACTGCACGCCTGTGGATCCCCCACCCTCACACAGCCAGCCGGGAAATCTGGCCTTGTCCTGGATGTGCTCACCCTCTGCTTCATTCAGCCTTATCTTCCCCAGCTTCCATATGCACAATCCTCTCACCATGCCCAGGAATGTGGCTAAGGACTGGTGGTCTGATAGAGTGGTGGTCCCTCCCCAAATTCAACCCTGTTCCCAGAGAGGCCCAACCACTGTGTCTCTCCACAGCATTGCTCTGGGACGTGGATCATACTGGCTGATGGTGTCCTCCGCAGCGGCCGCCTGAGGGGCTCTGGTTGAGGAGACAATCTCATTTCTGGAGGCTCTGGAGAGAAGGTGCTGGACCTATTTCCAGTCACGGGAGAAGTGAAGTCCCCAAGGGGTCTCTGGGGCTGTTGGAAGAAATGAGGCTGAATCCACAGGGTCTGTGTCAAGCGGGAGATGCTATGAGAGATACCTGGTCCCTCTCAGAAAGCCAAACCCAGCATATTCCCCCATTGCAGACCATACACAGCTTCCCTTCATCCGGGCCAGGAACGGCGTCGGAAGCTGGAGAAGGCAGCAAGTACCACAGTCGGCCAAGGACTGGCCATGCCGTGCGGCCTGAATGGGGCAGCTGCAGCCTCACCGACGCCCAGGCAGAGGCTGCGGTGGGCTCCTCACCGTCT